AACTCACTTTTGTAGTTTTGACGTTAATATTTTCTTAAATCGAAAATGTATTTCCGATAATACTTACCCCATTTGAATCTCCTTGGCGATATTTGTCTCGTGACACTCCATTTATGTCAATGCGCTCCCTATCCTGGTACTGTATATAAGCACCTCATTCAGATAATGTTATGACTTTTTCGTGACTGACTCAATCCACAGTTTCTAATACTGACTCTTAGTGGGGAGGAGGGGGCAGGAGAAACATATTTTCGATCTAAGAAAATTTTAGCATCCAAAACATACTTACTTTACCTCATCTCATACTACAGCAAGAATCTCAGATTGATAAGGTGGAGGAACCGGTGAGGACATTATCTATACAGAAAACGTCTGCATAGATACTGGTTGTGTCAATACAAGATTGGTAACCTAGCGGGGGAACCGCACTACATCCAGAACAGGCATGCTATTCACCCGGAACTTAATTCACGTACTGTGGGTGGAATTTTACATGATTTATCATCACTACTGGCCAGACTCCAACCAGAGGTTTCACTGCTTGGGGTTGGAAATATAGGGGCCATTGTCACTATATCCCACGTTGGTGGCCAGGGTAATATATATGAGTGGATCCCAGCCTGTAGCCATATTGATGTGTTCCGAGCCACTGGAATCACGCCGAGAAAGTAACCAACACCAAAGTGGACAAACCTTCTCCTCAACCTGAAGAAGTCAGAAAGGCAATACCCCCAGGCTCGGAATGATGGAATCTTGTATGTCTTACTCAACCTGATAAAACAGAACTTATTTGGTCTGGAATTATGAACACTTATCCTCACTCTCCAACTTTGTGGGAAGGTAAATTCCATTTACCCCCGGAATCATGGGGAGGATGTAGAACAAACTGTGCTCAACCAATGACCCAGAATGGGACCACTCTTTATTAGGATTTACGAGGAGACAATATTGATCAAAAAGAAGGGCCATGCTCAATCCAACTGGATAGCTGAGTATCCAACTGAACCACTATTATGAATAAGCTCCTACGTAGGTTGGTGACTCTCCTACCGACATCTTGGAAAAAACATCCAGGGACCTGGGTAGGAGGGCCCTCAACTTCGTCTTCTTCTCCAAGAGTGTAGCAAATTCACTCTAACACTCTGGTGGAAAAGCCTCTGTCCACCACCCCAGTGACTGGAAACCGCATGTGGTAAGGACTCCCTAGCTCCACTAGTATAATCTGTAGTTACTGGGGAGTCCTGGAGAAGAATGCCCTGGAAACAGTGCAATAGGTGAAGCAAGTTGGTTAGGTTGCTTGACTCACATGTTTAGGGTTACGGGTTCGAATTCCCGTCCCACCATATATGCTCGCCCTTTCAGCTGTGAGAGAATAATAGTGTGATAGTCAATCCCACTATTCTTTGGTAAAAGAGTAGCCCAAGAGTTAGTGGTGAGTGGTGATGACTAGCTGCCTTCCCTCTAGTCTTTCACTCCTAAATTAGGGACGGATAGTGCAGATAGCCCTCGTGTAGCTTTGCAATGATATCCAAACCAAACAAAACCAATGATCAGCAGGGATATGGAAGATCCCCTTATGTTTTACTCACGATAGTCCATGAGTGGCGGCCCAGCATACTACAGTAACACCACCTGATCAACTTCTAGGTGATCTTATGGAACACTTCATTTCTACGAACCTGTTGCAACCCTGAAAGGTAAAGTAGAGACAAGCATAGCAATGAAAATACTTACCCCTCTATATAAAAGTGGCAGAAATGGTTAAAGTAGCTACAGTGGGTAATGAAAAACCCTCAGTTAAAGATACTGCCAGATCATGTAAATAATGTGAGATAAAAGTATTTGGAGAGGTCAACATACCAGCCCACACAATGTCCACCAGTAAGCAGTTAAACTGGGCCACTAAGGACATAGAAATGTGATGAATCTGATTTGACGTGACTTACAGAATACACCTTCAAACGGAGCCCAGAATAAGTGATATGGATCAACTTCATGTCCACCTCATCAACGTAGCCAGGGATAAATTCTGGGAACTGAATGATCCTAATGAATAAAAAGTCGTTATCTAGCATCTCTAAAGGCATTAATGTGGGCTACAAAACCTTCAAGACCTTCACTAGATAACAAATGATCGAAATCTGATTGGCCATAAAAGTGAGAAATAGTGAGCAGATGAATTGGAGAAAAGGATTTATCTTCTTCTGTCTGACAGTGTCTTAGGGAAGAATGACTGGTCTGAGGACGTATGTAGAATTATAAAGCGTCCCGTGCACAATCAGCACAAACCACCCTGACTGGTGATGTCTGTAGGTTAGCAGCAATGAAAAGTAAACCCTTCAGGGAAAGGTGATACATAGTACATGAGGCTAAGGTCACAACGACTGTTTATAAAGGCATGAAACATAACCCTAATATTTACCCCTCTATATAATCTAGCAGAAGTGGTTAAGGTAGCTACAGTTGGTAGTCGAAAACCTTCAGTTGAAGGTACTGCCCGATCATGCAAGTAATGTGAGATAAAAGTATTTGGAACGTGGACATCCACAGTCATAAAAAAGAAACTTAGAGTGAAGATGAGTCACATGTGAACCTTGGAGAATCTAGGAATTGATATAGATGAGAAGGATTGTTGACTGGACACCAATATCCTGTCTTATTGGGCCCAACAAACTGATGGGAATAAAACCCCAGAAGAACTGGCACGGCTCTCTCTCTACCCCCAGACCAATCAGGGAAGGTGATACATAATTCATGAGAATAAGGTCACAACGAGTATTGAGAAAAGGCATGTAATGTAACCTTAATATACCATTTAGGTAACTGGAATGGTCGTTTGGGACAAATGGTAGTCGATAAGGCCACCTTATACTGGATGATTATGGAAGATGTAAAACCCTAGCCAAAGAGCCAGGTCAAAAAAACGAGTTATGAATGGCACTTCTGGATGAAGTGGGTTCAACCTCTTCTCAATACACCATTGCTGATATGTGTGCCATTTTCGTTGATATTTGTCCATTGTTGGACTAAGCAAAGACTGAGACAGATACATGGCAATCTTAGAAATTAAACTCTGACGCTGTGAAAAGGACTACATAACCTACCATGCCTGAAGCTTGAGCTTCTGGATAGCTGGGTGTACCATGTCAGATCATGGCTACTTCCACAGAGATGACCAAAGAGGAAGTGGAAGAGGTGGGCACTCCTGAAGCTACCTCAGAAGCATACAATGGTCCCGACAATGAGTTGGAAGAAATCATACTTAGTACCTTGAGTAACATATGAGTTGGAAGGAAGGCCTAGAGTTATAATCCCATTTCATCCTGATGAAATGAATTCAGGGAGGTACTGGAGACCAAATTGCCAGTAGTTAGGTGTTTCAAAAAGTGGTCAACCTGCCAGTCATAAGTGTTTCAAAATGAGAGCCAATCCAACAAAAAATCTCGCGATGCAACATATATTCTGTTGGGAGAATCTGTTTGGGTCGAGACAATTGATCTACTGCCACAGTTATCACCTTTGGAACATGGTAAGCTAGTAGGGTGACATGATAGGAGTGGTCCCGAGAAAGTAGATCCAAGGAGCTCTGGATCAAATGCCCCTTGATGGGAAATGCAAGACACCATCGTGAAATTGTCAGAGTTAAGCCTGAAGATTTTCCCCTTAATAAGCCCAGACCCTGAGGCATCACCTTTGGAAGATCATGAAGGTCTAAAACACTGTGTATGGAAACCTCGTCATCCGTGTCTACACCTTGGAATTCCTGACTGTTGAGACATGCAAGGCAATCGTGAAGAAATGGATCTTTGGATGAGATGGTGGCAGATGAACCCATATCTTAGTATTGTCCCAATCTAACAACCCCTCCATAATTGATGGAGTCAAAATAGGAATTTGTAGTTTGAATAAGTAATGTCTACAGTATCTCCAACCTTGTTTCATTAATTTTTACGACCCCTATTTGCAGGTTTTTAAATTCCAAGTTTTCAACTTATCTTGTTTGTTGGCACTTTCATGCTCAACTATGGGCAAATGATCACTCGATATGGTAGCTAACTTTATACATTGTAATGATATTAAACATGGCTAATAGCTAGCTGATATGGCTCATGATGATTTACTGTAGCTATTGATTATTTGATCACATTAGTTCGAGATGTAAAATGTTAAGCTGCAACTGGAGATTGTCACGGAGATCTATTGAGAATATAAAGAGCATTTATAGTTTCTGTGTAATTAATTTCTATGTATATGCATATAAAAATATATAAATTATCAGTAGGAAAGCAGCCTTTTCAAATAAAACGTATACATCGCTTTCAATAAACCTTCGTGTCTTTTAAAGTAATTATTCTACGAATGTGTGTAATACAATATAATATTATATGTATTCTTTTTTTTTTTTTTTACGTCCTTCACTTCATACATAATATAGAAGTTGGCTCACTAAATACAACGATTGCAATATGTGCAAAGCATTGAGTATCTAGATTTTACAGTCATGAATGCTCATCTATTATTGGCTGGATTTTCCTTTTTCAACCTGTACTGAAGCTTTTACAAATGCTGACTTGAGGGGTAATGATAACATCGTTTACATTAGAATTATTATGTTTTTAGCTTATGTAAAATATAGAATAAACAGATAGACTTTCCAATACCCTTACAACCTTCGCAGTACCTTATTTAGTATTCTACAAAAGGTTTGGGTGCAACATAGGATACCGTTTTTGTTGTTGGCTGGCAAGAGAAGAATAATAATTACAATTGGGCCACTTTTAGCGGATTTTCTTTTCCTTGTAAGTCTAACGTGCGTGCTTTTTGTGCATTTTTATATGTATACAGCCTTAACAGTCAATAGTAAAGGTCTTAAAGTGTTGTTTGAGCTGAATCTTTACTATTTAAGGTTCTTTTTTGCCAAACGTTCTAATAGGGTTTTGTGCAATTCCTTGCGATCCCTATTATGAACCACTACCGTGGTTCATGATAGAACCAAACAATTTCGGTGAAGTGGTGGCGCTAGGTTTAATAATGTTTAAAAATAAAAATGGCGGAAGAGAATAGAAGGAAATTAATCCAATTATTAAAACTTCCACAAAACTCTCACTGTGCAGATTGCGGAATAGAAGGTGAGATATTTGAAGTTATAGCAATGGTACTGTTATTATATGATAATATATTAGATAGGTGATAATTTTCGTTATTATTTCGTAGGCCTAAGCCATATAGTAACATTAACTAACAATATTATTATTAATAATATATATGGACAAGTGGCGAATTTATTCTTAAGTTTAACTTAAAGACAAACTAATAAATCACTAAATGTTAAACTTTCACTGTGCAGTTGCGGTATAGAAGATAAAATTTTTTAAATCATATTAATGGTACCCTTATATTTTATATTAGCTAATTTATAATTATAGAAAAAAGGGGAATACATATTTTTAAATTCTAGTTCTAGTCTACTTCGAGTTACCAAACATTAATTTTTCATAGCATAAACTTACACTGTTACTGTGTTAGTGTTATAGCTTTTGAAACATATACTCATATAACATTAAATGTATTTTAAATTTTATTCATTTTAATAGTAGTAAGAAGTTATTGTTGTTCTTAATCATTTCACCAAAACTATGAATGTGATATAGCAATATATGGCCAATTATGATTTTTTTTAACTTTTACTTTAAGCTGTCCTGTGTTAGTTTGTCCAGTGAAGCTGTGTTACTTAAAATTAAATCATTCCATTTGTGATCCATGGAGGAAGCCATTATTTCAACACTAGCATTGGACACAAGTAATGAAAATAGTTTATATACAAAAGACATAATAAATCTTAAATTATATGTAATTTATTTGGAAAATTTAAAAAAATTGTAAACCCATTTATTCACAGTTGCTTACTTTTTAACATAACTAGATGTTAAATTAACTTCATGAATCTAGGCACCATGTGGCACATTTTACTAAATAATCTACTTGTTTAGCAATGATTAAGTTGCAATCAAAGTTATTTAGATATTTTGTTCTTCTGTGATTATTATGTTTTTTGTTCTATAGAAGTCAATAGTATGATTCCAAACTCCTGTAATTTTTTTTTAACAAAAAAAGAAAAGTTATAAGTGATCTGAAGCAGTTAGTTAGTATTGATGCATCATCTTTTTCCATGTTTAATTGTAAGAATGATAGGACAAGTGATTACAAATATACATTTTGGAGGGTTGGATTTGGGAATGGGTTGATATTAGGTGTGGTGAATGCAGTTGATTTAAATTAAGATATGATTATAGACCTGTTAAGTTTTATAATATTTCCTCTATTGTAGGCTACAAGCTTAACCACTGGGTTTAAACATGACATAGTATTGATTTATATTCACAAACCAGAAAACTTAAAAACTCTTTCAGTGTTATCACATACTTAGCAGAGCATGAAAAATTAGGATATACTAGCAGAGATCTGCAAAACATTTCCAGCCAAATTAGTATCTTTTTTGTAACAATACTTCTTTAAATATATCATTTCTAGCACAATACAACGAATTGTAATCGTAGACAACAAAATGTGTAAATCCACTTGTATATAGGCCGTACTTTATAAAACTTTAACTTATGTTGGGCCCAAGTTCGATAATGAGATAAATTAACACTGTAACCTGTGTACGTCTTCTTTTACTTTAGTTTAGTTAGGACTAAACTTTACTGTACTTAATACTATCGATAAATAAACTGATAATGCTATTCTACAACCTAACATCAAACTTTTTTAAAACTTTTGATAGGTTTTTAATATGCTGTTGTACAAAATG